TATTAAAATTCAAACACGAAATGAGGTCGTGATAGTCAGATTGGCTCAGATTCAATCTGGGCTGTTGGGCTCATATCTTCCTGTTAGCCTTTGGGCTAACAATAGTATCTTCCTAAATATATATATATATATATAAGGTAAAAGGTTGGGGTTACGCCCTCTAGCTCATATGATATAAGGAAAAAGCGTGGGGCTAGCCCAACTAGCTCATATGAACATATGAGCGCAACAACCCAGATTGAATCTAGGCCGATCTGACGATCACAGATGTTTGGTAGTGTTTGAATTTTATTTATTTTTCTACATTTTCAAATCACTTGAAATTTTAGGTGCATGTTCTTTTTATCAAAGTGCATCTAATAAAAATATAAAAAAAATATCTGCTAAAAGCAAAATGACCAGAATACATCTGAAACTTTTTGGGGGTATTTTGGTCAATTTATTTCATGTAAAATATTTTTTTGATATTTTTTGAAGATTCACCTATTTTTGATGAACACACCCCTAAAATTTCAAGTGATTTGGATTTGTAGAAAAATAAAATAAAATTCAAACACTACCGGACATCTGTGATCGTCAAATCAACTAAGATTCAATCTGGGCCGTTGGGCTCATGTTCACATGAGTTAGTGGGCTAACCCCAGTTTTTTCCATATATATATATAACAAAAGTCTTCTCAACGCCTCTAGGCGCAAATGAACAGTGATTTTGCCCATGCTCATCACCTCTAAAGTTCATCGTACGGTCACGATTTGTCCAGTAGTGTTTCAATTTTCATTTTGTTTCTATAAGTCGAAATTATATGAAATTTGGAGCGCGTGTATATCTTAGTGAGGCACACCTAATAAAAATAGGAAAAAAATATTTCGCAAAATATAAATTGACAAAAATACCCCCGTAAATTTTCAGGGGTATTTTGGTCAATTTATATTTTGCAAATTATTATTTTTATATTTTTATTAGATTCTCTTATTTTTGATGAATACGTTCCAAATTTCTGATCATTTCGATTTGTAGAAAAAATATGAAAATTGAAATACTATTGGACAACTGTGACCGTGCGATGAACTTTGAACGGTGATGAGCATAGGCAAAAATCACTATTTATTTTCGCCTATAGGTGTTGTGTAGT